TGAAAAATATGAAAATAAAGCTAGGAATTGGATTGTTGGACTTCAGATTAGTAGGGGTTGAGTCATCAAAAGTAACTAAGTTAAATAGCTGTTTTATGGATGGTAACTAATATTATTATTGAAATGTTATTAGTAATTAGTTACACTACTAGTTACTGCAAAAAGTAATGTTATTACTGTAACTAGTTACTGCCCAACTGAGGTAAGGGTAGAGTTACAGTCAAGCTATTTTAAGGCATGAAGAACTTATTTGCACAGGAAAAAAAAAACATTTAAATATGTCATTTTGATTTTCAAAGGTGCGTATTAGGGGTAAAATTTGTGACAGCAGAGTGACTTAGAATTAGATTCAGGTACATTTACAAATTAGTTTGAAGGAATGTTTCAGGCATTATACGGTTTTTAGATTAATGCATACAAAAACTGTTGTTTTATTAAAGGTCAGGTTAACCAAGTGCATCTAAGAGTTACTTTGTGTTTGGCAATTATAATAATAATAAATACATAAATGAACATATTATCCTGTAATGCTTATTTATGTTTATGTTTGTGTATTTGCCAGTACATATTATATGTACTGAAAGTGCAACTTATTCAGCATATTTTGTCCCAACAACATAAATTGTTGTTCCTTCATCTTAAAGGAGACCTATTATGCCCCTTTTTACAATATGTAATATAAGTCTCTGGTGTCCCCAGAATGTGTCTGTGAAGTTTCAGCTCAAAATACTCCACAGATCATTTATTATATCATTTTGAAAATGCCTATTTTGAGTGGAAGCAGAAACATGCTGTTTTTCTGGCCTGTGTCTTTAAATGCAAATGAGCTGCTGCTCCCCGCCCCCTTTTCCAGAATAGAGCTTCGTCATTACAGCTCGGACCTGCTAAAAACCTCTGTTTTGGTTCTGATTATCATGTTTATCGCGCTGAAATCATGCCTTTTAAACCATACGAGTTTAAACAGATATAAGGTTTTCTGAGAGCACACATCCGAAGCACACGCACAGAAAGCGGCTGTCACAGCATGTGAGTACTAAACTAAGTTCTCATTCACACACAAGTTTACGTTAAAAACACACGAGTTACAAAAACAGTCGGTTATGTCTGTGAAGGTAAACAGCTGGGAAATAAATCGCATGTTTATTTTAGATCTGTGTGGCAGCAGCAATATACAGTAAATAAATCAATAAATGCACTGCTCTGTTGTCTCCTCTGAGGCTGGGACTCTAAACATTGTTCTGTGCTCGTCTGTGCAGCCAAAGACAGAACAGTCAGCATGTTTTGCTCAAACTTTTGCCATGGCATTAGAGCTGGTACAACGTTGTCGCTTGTGAAATCAAATGACGGCGCCATGGGTGGAAACTTACAGATTAAGGGGCGGTAATATTATAATGAGATCCCTTTGCCACGTCACCAAGGGAGCGAAATCAGACGCGCTCGTTTTCTCAGACGCTTGCAGAAAAAGGCTTCCCAAAACAAAGTTACTGAGTTAATGGGACCTGATTATAGCACTTAAAACCTGGAAAAGTCAGATTTTCATGATATGTCACCTTTAAATCAGACTTCCTGCCCAATAAATGCTCTAATATTTGTGTCCTGTATGCAGATGCTTACATTTTAGTTCCCAATCAGCAATGATTTATGTGTAGATTCTACAGGACAACAACAAGAATGAAAATTCATAAAAATGCTGTCGGTTAAACATTAAATAGCCAGATTCAGTTTTATTAATTTTGATTCCTTTCTCTCTTCATTTACATATATAAATAAAGTTATTGACGGAGACATTCTCCTCAAAGAAATTTAATATTACACTATTAAATAGTAATGGGCTACATAAATTAAAACAACTTTTTTTTGCATCTATGAAAAGTTTGATTACTATAGCTGGGGTTGCGGGAAACATGGATTTTATTTTTTTATTTTTTACATATTTGCATCTGTTTTCACCTACCAATTAATCATGCATGAACTCAAAACATTAAAAAACACATTAGCAGGTGATGCACCTGAAACTGAAAACAGGTGAGAGAAAGCAGAGAGGCCACAGGATAATCACATTGACACTATGAATTATTAATGATGCTTGATAATGCATCCTAAATGTTTTATGTAGTGTAAACATAAATGGCAAAAAGACATGCAATAGTCTCCACTGAAAGTTAAAAATATCCCCAAACATACAAGCAAAACACAAATAAATAATATTTTATGGTTTTATCAACACCCAAATGCAGTCGCTAAAATTCACAAGGCTCAAAACAACAATAAAAAGGTCAAATAAGGCATTAATTTAGCCTGCTGTGTATTTGCAGTGTTGGGAAGGTTACTCCTATTTATTTGAGGGCTTAATCATTTGACTGTACACGAATGTCTTAAAGAAAGCTTTGTGCAAATAGTATATTAAAATCTAAAATGATCATAGCAACAAAAAGCTATAGCCTACTAGGCATTTTTTTTTTAATTAAATGTAAGAAAATTGGAAGTGAAACTGAAACTTGAATCAGCGGGCTGAGAATGGGGTCTCAGTAATTTCCCATAGCCTATCAGAAAGAGGAAACAGACAGTGCGTAAATAACCAAAATGTGTTAAATGCACAACACAATTAACAAGAAATTCATTCCAGATTCGGTTGAATCCTTATTTGGATTGTTTGAACTGCTGTTGACCAAAACAAGCGTTCATTCTTCATAAATAATCCCCGATTCAATTACATGTGCAGTTGCCCTCCAATCCAACGAATTATTTATTCCGTGCAACATTTCTGCCTTTACACAATATGAGGGAGAAGCACCAATTCTGGCATTCGATGCTGCTGCATTTGCTCAGTGCGCATATGTTGCCCCCAAATCTGCACTAAGCAGAAAACTCGTCTCTTTCAAGAGAGGAGAGTGTGAAATGAGATCAGGACACTCGCTGAACCGGGTGTGTGTGAGTGAGAGAGAAAGAGAGAAAGAGAGAGAGATATGAAACCGTCAAATCCTCGTCGTTCACCTTTAAAATACATCACCGCAGTGCTTGCGTATTGGAGCTTGGCTGGCGCGCGCATCGGAACGGCTCGCTGCACCATTGCACCTGTTCTCGAGGTTGCAAATCACAGGAAGTCGCTGTGCAAAAACGGCGTATTCGTCGAGCTTACGGTTTAGGCTGAAAGACGTCAGTTCGACAAGAATTACCCGAGAGCGGAAGAGACCAGACAGCTGTCAGACATCGCTTTGTTGTCGGTGAGTTTCATTCGAGAACGCTGTTTTTAATGCGAGTGACACCAAATGCCACACTGATGCAATCGGCACGGAGACAGTAGCGGCGTCCTGTAAGTGAGAAAGGATGCGCTCGTTCGCTTCTTTGTTCGTTCGGTGACTTCGTCCTGTTCCGGTTGGCATTGCTGAAATGTAGCAGGCAATGATTCATATCGTCGTCTATTCAGTGCAAGCAGCCTTTGTTGTTATAAAGCTCATAAACGCTTATTTTATCGTAAAGAGATGTGTTTAAGCGTTGATGAGTCGGAGGCAGGCAGATTATTAACTGCATCCACACTGCTCTTATTGCACTGCCCTCTTTTTAGCGACATTTGGATGCAATTTAGTGCATGGATGCTCATAGGAAAGAAACGGCACATCAGCTCAAAAACGATGCGGAGAAAGACATGACCTACTCAGGGCGGTTCTGGGGTCAGTGGATATTCGGGTTTAGACATGACATCTGTGGATGCGTGTGGAGACATGGATGCACCAGTTTGTCATAGGCATGTGTTTGTTTTCTGTTTTCTTTTTATTTATAATGAAATATTTAGTTAGCGTGTTAGTGAAGCATGGATGAGTTACACTGATTAAGAAAAAAAGCAGTCCATGTGTCGGATCTGTATGGGCTGATATGCAGAATTCAGTTATCGGAATATGTCTTTGTCTCAGTTGACTTCCTTTTTTTAATTTTAGAGATCTACAGATCTTTTTGAGTTTCCACAAGTCTAATTTAAGAGCTGTCTTAATGATAAGACAAAAAAAAAAATCACATTCAGGTTATTCTTAATTTACTTTACTTGTAGATATCTGTAATTTAATATGACTAGACTGTAATTCTATTCTAATCTGTAATTACTAGTCATTCAATTTTGGCTAGTCGGAATTATATTTGTACTCCTCAATTTTAAGTTATATCTAAAATTATTACATTTAGTTAGAATAAAATTAGAACTAGTATTTTACAAGGTTGGAATAGCATTATATATACTGTATAATCAAATTCATTATTACTAGCAAAAATGTAGCCTAATTAAAGACTTCTGCGATAGTATTTCTTACTAGTCAGAATCGCATCTTACAGCTTTCTATTCACAGGCAGCTCATTATGGTAATTGCATCTCATGAATATTTATTGGGGCTTTTATAAAAAGCCAGGCGGGCAGTGGATGAGGCCAAGAATGAGTTAAAGCGGTTGCAGAGCATTAACACTGATTTTCAAAGAGTTCTCTGTATCTCCGGGAGTCAGCTCAAAGTATGGACTGTACTATAGTATTTTGGATGGATGGAGGAATGTTGAATATTTGGCTAAATGTCAATATCCATAAATTTCTACCTTCAGCAGTGTTTGGAAAGAGAAAGATGTGTAAACAGTTTGTTTTGCATTTGATGAGGAGTAAAAATTTGGTTGCAGAGCTTTATAATAGAAATTATGACTTGTTACTAGTCAAAAGTCATCATGTCATGATTGAGATTGAAAATGTTTATTTTTACTACTAAAAGTAAAATGTATATGTTTTTGTCTGTAATTTAATAAAAGAGCTCTACAATTAAATATATATATTTTTGCAATAAAGTGCTGTGGTAGAGTTCTGTATAGAGGTTGAGCGATTGATCGGCCGGCCGATTAATCGGCTGATTTTTGGCATTTTTTAATTAATCGGCATCGGCCGATTATACTGCAAATTAGGCCGATTTATAGGCAGGCACATCTGCGGGCAGCTAAGCGTTGTTGCAGAACGCCGGAGAATCTCTCTCTGGCTGCGTGAGAGACGGAGCAGCTCACACTCTGCAGCCGCTTCTTGTTCACA